CATAGCACACGGTTCATCTCCTGTATCAAGGGAAACATACATAAAACTTGAGTGAGAACTCTAACTTCCTATCACGTTAGGGCTCCTTAGGTATACTATTTATTTTCTGCTTCACTGAGCAGAGAATTTGATACTAAACCTTTGGTAGCCAGTGTCACTTCAAAAAAAAAACCCCTCCTCTTTCTGTCAGCTGAATTACTGCTTTAACCCAGTTCATTGTATTTTCCAGGTGAAAAATCTTGCAGTCAATTTTTAAAAGGTTTGTGTTTGTTTTTTTTTTTTAATTTCTTGCAGAAGCAGAGTTTCATTTGAGGACAGAACCCTGTTTTGTGGGTATTTTCATCTGCTCTGGCCACATAACTGATTCTTGGGCACAGTAGTTTGGGAGAAGGAGGAAGACAGGATTCTAGAGTTTATTTTAGCCTTAGAAAAAAATTAACAACCTTTCTAACCTTTTGATTACTTTTTTTTTTGTTTCATGCTCACACCCACTATTTCAGTGTTAATGATGTTTCACTTCTTTAGTCAACACAAATTGAAAACAATTCTGCTTGATTCCCTCCCATGTGCCTATAAACACAATGCCTGGTCTTCGAGGAAAGCACAGATGTCACCATTTGCAGGACAATCCAGTGCCAATTGCTTACAATACACTACAAGTTGAGTTGAAGGCAATCTAAAAATCCATCTAACTTGATTGGAAGTGGATATTCAGGGAATGACCAACAGCAGCAGCGCTCTCACAAGCAAATCATGTTCTATATGAACTTATTTTACCAAACCAAATTCAAACCATCTCAACAAAGGGGACTGTCAAAAAGGGTAATTTTACTTGAAATAAAAAACGTAAATTAACACTGCATTTAAATTACTTGTGGATATTTTGGGGAGGAATCCCAAAGCACTGGGGAAAACACAGAAACCTGCAGCAGCAAAGAGTTCTACTGCAGAAGGCCCCCTTGCCTCCCACGGCTCTGCAGAGCATCAGTGCTATCCAGTCTTGCCTCGCCAGATCACATCTTTGTCAGTGTGGACAGGTCCAGGTGACACAGTAAGGTCACCTTCCTCTCTCCACGCTACACAGAATACAAATCCAGAGTAGTCCATGCAGAATGGACAGCTGCTGAAAGTGCTTTTGCTTCTCCTGACTGCATAGCAATCTCCATACAATCTCCATAACAATCTCTGGGCTCTATAAGCAGGTGATATCCGGAACAGTTTAAAGGCAAGCTGTTCAAAATTTTGGAATCTGCTTGGTTTGCCATGCTTTTTGTATAAATCACCTGTCTAACAACAACAACAAAAGAGCAGTAAGACAGTGTTACATCCTATATTTTTCTAACCATCTGGAAGACCAGGTGGTGGTCCCATAACGTTCCCACTATCTACTACATGTCGGAGACCTCAGGCGTGCGTGACAGGACCACATCGTTACACAGAAATCTATCAATTGAAAAATTATTTTCCTTTTGCCATGATTACGACCAAGAAAGCTGAAGTTATTTTTGTACAGATATTTTCATTTAACAAATACACACTGCAAGTGTTGGAAGGCTTATAACATATTTATGCTTAGTTACTTAACATGACTCTCATATAAGTCCCAATGAAATTATTCCGTTGACCTTAATGTGATACAAAGCCCATAAAATAGTTTTGTGGCTCTCTTGGTAACCTATGAAGTTTTCTACTAACGAGCTTCAATCCCTCTTTACACAAATACCTGTATGTCTACATTGCATAAACCCATCTAATTCTGTCCCTCGTGACAAATTTCCAAGTAAAACGTTCTAGATGCGTAGTTCTGAGTTAGCCAATACTTACGCTGGGTTTTTCTTCAGTACTGACTGAGAATTTTTAGTGAGAAACTACTTCTTGATACTTTTTCCCTCAGAGGGAAAAAAAAACCACCCAGAAAAGGCACCTAAACATGGCTTTGATTTGGAATTATGCCTGTGATTGTTTTAGGAAAAGCTGGAATTTTTAGTGAGAAAAACCACTGCGTTTTCCAACCAGCTTATGAAGTCTTAATTGAGCCAGTAAAAATGTCAGATTCAGGTTTTGGTATGTTTTTAACCTTTCCTTTCTAATATTACTATTTGTATATACAACCAGAGTACAGCTGGGGGGAAATATTACTAAATAAATAAAGTCCATGTAGCAATACTGGAAGGTAACGGGCTATGAAATCGGAGCATTCCCATTACAGCATGACAGATGGTCAGTTTGTAATTCTCAAAACATTTCTGTGAAAATGTACATGATCTATGAATATCTCATGGCTCCTACAAGGAAATCTCATCATCTCCGCATGCACTTGTATTTAATCAGTTGCAAACTGCAGAACAATCTGTGTGTTTGGTGCCTACTGATTAAACGCTAAATCTCTCGACGTTTTATAGGCAAAAAGAAAAAAGTTAGGTGCTGAAATCTCACAGTTTCACAGGCAGCAGTGTCTAACCCACAGCTATTCCTCTAGAGCAGGAGATCTGGCAAGATGCTGTGGAAGGAGACTTTATGAAGGCTTATAATGGCCAGTTTGATGCTGATGCTCAGCTGTTTGGTTTGTTATCACTTGGCCGTGGATTGCACCGTAATAAGGCCTTTTGCTGTAATTGATTTCATTCTCTTGATACATCCTTCATCTGCCTTAATGCTTTACTTTTCATGCTTTGATTAGAAGGCTAAATTCTAAAAAGCATTAATGTCACTGCCCCCAGCAACATCTCTGCATCCTGTGTAGGCAATATTTAATGAGCTATACAGCTTCTCATCCAGGAAGGCTCAGGCAGAAAGTTGAGGGATACACGAGGGATACAAGTGCAGGAAAAATATGGAAAGATGAGATGGTTTTTTTTCAGCTTTAGGCTGAAGCTCACAAAGTCTGCAGCAAATTCCTTCATCTGTCATTGCTGTGTTTCATGTGATCCTGGGAAAATCACGTGGGGTCAGATGCAGATACACAGGTAGGCACTTGCAACACTTCACATCTAAAAGATAAGGTGCCTGTACAACGGGTGATGTGCAGCAAACTAGCTGGAGGATTTACCTCCAACATGGAAGAAAATTCTACACCAATAAAAGAGGAGAAACATCCTAATTCTACCATGCTGAAAAAAAGAGAAAAAGTAAGCCTGTCTCTGTTGCATAAGGCAAACTCACCCCTCCAACCTTCTCAAAATGAGAAGCGTCTGTCTTGAAGTCAGTGAGCGTTCCATTGAAATACCAGGTGAAGCTGATGTCCAGTATAGGATCGTGCTGAACCTGGCAAGGCAAGACGACACTTTCTCCGACAGTGACATCCATGTTGGAAGGTGCCAAAGTAATCCTGGTTGGCTCTGTTGAGAGCAGAAATATCAGTTATCGGATTCCTGTATTGCTGAGCTTTGCTTGCTACTAATATTCTACCACGTTCTTCAAATCTGATTAGTGACAGTCATTTCAAATTATGCAGCTGGACTATAAATGCTGCTGCCTGACCCCTCTCGTTGGAGCGTTGTGTCCTTGCACATTTACCAGTGGGAGCTACTTGACTCTGAAAGGTAAATTTTAACCTGCTGTGTACAGGCCAACATAAACGCACAGCAATGAAATTACCAATTTGAGAGCGTGTGTGGTTCTTTCTCAGCAATAACACTCGTGTTTTGGAGCAGGAAGCTGTAGTAGCAGCCACTGGGAAAATTGAGAGCTAATAAAATGTGGAAACTAGAGGGAATCCACATAGGGTAGAATGCGTTGGGTATTTGGGTCCATATATCATATGGAGCATAAACAGTGTCATTAAGAATTGCTGCTTGTTATTCCAGAATCACACCACTAGAGAAAAATTTCAAGTACTGTAAATACTGTAAAAATAAAATTTCATTCTAGAAATCTTTTGTATATAATTCTATTATTTGTCTACAAAGGGGCATGGATCATTTAAGAGCACAGACCATAAATGTAAAGCTGTTAATTCACTGAACACAGTAATTCTGTTTGGATCTGAGAGATATATAGGATATGTAATACAGTAGGATATTAGATAATTCTGAGTTTGGAAAATCGGATATTCCAATCTTTAAAAAAAAAAAACGAAACATAATGAGAAAAGATAGTTTTCAGCTAAACTTCACAGACTACTCTTCCTTTTAATCCAGTGTCTCAGCAGCGAGGAATGGATGACTTAAGAGGAAGGGGCAAGAACCCTTTTAACAGCAATTATGTATACAATTCATTTTTGAAAGACTGTATTTTACTGCCCGTAGAGCCCCTGAATGCTCCTGCAGCTGGAGTTTCTGCCACATCTTTTTCCATAAGCAAACGGCATATAGTTCCTCAAGGGCTAAACAGATTGTGGATCGGAACACAAAATTACCTCAAATAGTTTTTAACTGCCATCATTTTTTACTCCCCCAAATTTAAAAAACCCACCAAAATTTAAAAGCATATTGCATTATTATTTCAGATAAGCGAGAGAGGGGAGGAAAGTGTTCAGAACTCCCTCACATTGGAAGAGTGACTTGGTGAAAGAGAGAAAAAGCCTCGGTCTCTTTCCTCTCAACTGATAAAAGAACTGTAACAAATAGCCTTTTATCTTTATATATTGTTAAATATGGAACTTCTCACACTCTCTGTTTTCTACCACATTTAGTATTTTTTCAATAAGCAAACTCAGACTCTACATCACGGCAGACTTGTGTTGCAGAGTTTGCAATTCAATTTACGTCACCTCCCAGATGACCCTCCAGTCCAGCTCACCTACCTGTAACTATTAGGTTTGTTGAGCCACTGGCTGTTCCAAACTGGTTTGTTGCCAAGCACGTGTAGCTTCCAGCATCAACTTTGGTCACGTTGGCTATTCTTAGTCCTCCATCATTTAATAACACGATTCTAAAAAGATGATGAAGAGATTTTAAAAGTTGCAGCATTACTTTGTAGATAAAACGCTGTAATACTCGTTCTGTTCCCTCAGATATAACAAACTGCATCAATTACCAACCCGATGTTTGAAAATTTTGCACCCATACACTGACAACATACAACAAATTTGAACCCAGCTGTATATTACTCACCATTTTGGACATCAGTAGAATCAATGTTTACGATATATGCGTGTGCATATGTATGTCTGTGTGTGTGAGACAGAAATCTCACATTAACTCAATCTTTTTCAGCTGCATCGACCGAAACTAGAAAAATTTTCAACGGTGTTATGTTGTTTACCTCATGCACTCTTGTATGGTAACTTTGAACTACGTGTCTATCATTAGTCTGATGTTGCAACAGGATTTTTCCGAAGCAATCCACATTTTGTCCTCCTCAGGATTCCCAGACACAATCCTAACACATACTGCATGGAAGTCAATAGCTCATTTGCAAAACTGACTCTCTGCAGTAGGATTCAGCCCATGGAAGTATAAACTCCGTATTTGTTTAGAAAGCAAACTGAGTCTTCACACTGTTGCAGACTTCTGTCTCAGTTTATCACTGATGCTGAGCAGGAGTGATCTGCAAACATGGAAGAGGTATGCTTTGTGGAAGGACTCGAAGGAAAGAAAATTCCCTCCACCCCCCACAAACATCACCAGTGAGAATCATGCCTTAAGGACAGATAGCATGGAACAAACCAGAAAGATCCTTACAAAAGTTGTGGACAAAAGACAACTTGCATTACTGATATAGACAGAACACCACCAGCATCCCAACAGTAGAGATGACATCCTAGACAACTGCACTACAGGGATGTAAAGGTAAGGCTAATTTGACTC